GTTTAAATGTTACATGCCTTTGATCGAACAGTTGATGTTCCTTTTTTTATATAATATTCTAACCCCCATTTGTTGCACTTTTTCAATTCTTTCTACTTCCTCTTAACAAAAAGATCGCTCTAGAGATAGAGTGCCTGCAGCTGTCTAATGCTGAAAAGTGTCATATCCCAATAGTATGGATTGTGGAAGTTTGCAGGATCCTTTGGGGTTTTGTGGGATCTATACAGAAGCAAACGCATGGATGCTTTGTTGGGAACTTTATTCCATCCTCTTTTGAATTTTCAACAATTGGAAATGTTTGTAGAGGCAGATTATTAATTCTTGGACCCCCTGGGCCACATGCACTTATCCTCTCTCTCACACTCATTCACATACACACACTAAGATGGTAATTGATTGAATTTTAACTATTATAGTCAAGGTTGCACCTATATATGACCAGAAAATGCTACACACAGAAATGTATAGATCTAAAGCCAATTGTTCCATTGATTCAGTGGGTGTACCATGGTTGGGACTAACAATTGGACTTAAACAGTCATTCTAGCCTGTGATTTATAGACTCTAACCAGCAGAATAAAAGCAAATGATGCTCAAATTGGTTAAAACAGCACAGAGTAGAAAAGACTCATCCTAAAAGTCATAAAGTTTTAAAAACCGTGGCTGCTTCACAATTAATAAGTACAGTGTTTTCAAATAATGCCTTGCATGTATTATAGATACATATAGATATTGCTGATAAAGTTTTCATGTCACCTTCCATAAAATATTTTCACTAAGTTCCTAATCAGATGCCAGTCCTCAATAGTTGATTCACAAATGCATGTGCATCACCTAATGACATTGACACTGCAGATGGCTTAGGTGTGTAAATAAGGGCCAATTAATAAAAATATTATAGTTATTATTTCACATATCTGCCATAACAGACAGAACATCAATATTTCTTCACACGCATAGTGCTTTTCTATGAAAGCAAGTCACACAACTTACATTTGGTCTGACACATTGCATTACTGAATCATGTGCATGTTGTTTTCCCATACTGATATAATTTCTAGTGTATATTCAATCCCATTCATTATATAGAAAACTTTGATTTACAGGATCCCTAACTACAGTGCCATAAGATTTTGATGGTGCTTTTATATATATTCCTCATTAAGAATATTTTGGTTTTCTGCAATTCTATTAACCCTGTTTGGTTGTTCTGTTCAATTCCTGTTAATCTATACATAATTCAGTACTTTTGCAGCATTACTGCTTATCTTAAAAGAATTGCAGGTTATCTTTCTTCTTCCTCTGTTTTCTGCCATGTTCAAAGTGGCCCACAGGCCCTTTTCTGATTCATCCCCCAGAGTAAAGAACAAGTGTTTCTACAAAACATGACCTCTTTTAATATGAAAATTGAACATTTCATGACCTTTGTCCAACTGCCAAATTAACTATATTGGAAATCTGCAGGGTATTTTTTATAAACCAAACTGGAAAATACTTTCTTTTCAGTGACAATATTTTAGAGTGCTAGCTATCTAAGTGGTTTTGAGCTGGAAATTGAAATTACTACCTTCCAATGGTATCCCTATTCATAAGTACTGAGTCTCAATATTACTTGCTGCATTCCAAACAAATCAGATCTAGAGAATAAAGGTCAAGTGGTATATTGCATCTCTTGGGATAGGTACTCTTTAGTTGCCTTTTTCATCCTGTGTTCTTCTGTATCATCCCTTTCTCTTTGCTTGTCTCTCGCTGTTTTCTTTATGGTCATACAATTCCTTCAGTACAAACAGTCAGTGAAGGCAAATTTCACTCTAGCAGTTCTTGTTTACATAACAGATGTACATCACCACACAGACTAAACCTTATCCCCAACTTTAATGCTAAACCTAAACAACTCCACCACTTCAAATATGAAATACAGAATTTGCAGTTCTGTACTCTGATGCTTCACTATTTATTATTTCAAATTAGAACGCATAATTTAGAAAGTTGGTTTTAAAACTTCAAAATCTGAGGCATAGGTCTGATTCCAACCATAACGTCTTTGGAACAGGAATGAATACTGTGCTCACACTTCCTACTAGCTCATCTTCTTCAATACAAAATTCCTGGTTTATTTAGCTAGCACTTACTGGGGGAAACTGCATCTTGTGTGCTCTCTATAAGCCAATTTTTGTACCTTTGTTTGCAAATCCAAATTCATACAAAGCATTCAAACTACAGTTCCCGATTTGGAGGAATCATACCATAGATATACAGTGTGCTCTAAATCACAAAGTAAACTGTGATATATTGGTCCAAGAATGTGGGTATCATAACAAAAATCTGTATGTTCTTGAAATTAAGGTGACTTATGTGCAAATTTTACAAAAAAATCTCTTATTTCAGGTGGTCCTATTGCATAACAACAGAGCTCCATTTGGAAAAGATTATCTCCTTTTATTTAAATTGACAGAAATATGCAATGCAAAATGTGCATGTGTAGAACCTTTCTCCCCTTTTTAGAAAATGAGAAGCTCATTTACATTCATAGAATTAAATCATGGAGTGTCCTTGTGTTTGATATTGTTGTTGCTGCTGGAGAACAAGGGTCTGGAGATCAAGCCCTATGAGGAGTGGTTTAAAGAGCTGGCCATGTTTAGCCTGCAGAAGAGAAGACTGAAAGGAGACATGATAGACATGTATAAATATGTGAGGGGAAGTCATAAGGAGGAGGGAGGGAGCTTGTTTTCTGCTTCTCTGGAGATTAGGACGCAGAGCAATGGCTTCAAACTACAGGAAAGGAGATTCTTCCTGAAAATGTTCTTCCGAGTCTCTCCAACCTAGACAACATTGCTTTTCATCTTCTTCTATTCTCCTCATCTTAGCTCATTCAGTCAAAACCCATCAGAAGACTGGTTTTAAATTGATTGGGCAATGAATGCAGTGTGACTTTTGTTCATGTTGTCACATAATTCCATCTATCAGCTAATTTTCTTGCTGGAACTGAATCTTAGCTCAGCAACTCTATTTTAAAGGTCTATAGTTTTCATTTATACATGCTGTTGGGAATATAAAACTATACATATAGTTTCCATATACAATAATCTGACCTATATGGCCCCAAACTACACTACAACTTTCCCCAAACATAAAACAAAAGTCTTTAAAAGATCTCCAGTTTACAGGGAATCCTGGAAATGATCGGTGTTTCAGTATAAACCAACACAACTGTATCCCTCAAATTGAACTTGAACACATGCTCTTTTCTGAATTAATAGCCCAGTTCAAGATTCTTGTTTTGATAATCAGTGTTTTGGTTGTTTTGATTTACCTGTCAGAAAGCCTTGCCTTTCCAATGTGAGTACATGCTTTCTGCATTTCCTGTACTGCATTTCCTTCTGAATCAAGGGCATTAGCAGTTGCAATTTAGTAAATATTCACAGGATCTTGGATTAAGTTCCTCATAAACTAGAAGAAAACAATTAGTCTGACTGGTGCTAAAGATTTTGTGTAAATGTTATTATAGTTGAAAAATTCTAAAATAACCAACTAAATTGAAATTATAGAGATACTGTTAGAAGATGAGACTCCCAGATTGGAAGGCATGGAATCAGCTAGTGGGAAAGAGCAGAGGATAGGTATAAATAACACTGTGTCTAATGACACAACTGGACTCAAACCAAAGGGATATTCAACTGCTAACATGCACAGAGTCTGCAGCTGCACAACGTATGTAGTAGAAGCATGGAATGTAAGAACTATAAAATAAGGAGAAGCTAAGAGTAGGTAAAACCCTTGACTCAGTAATTAATCCAAATGTAATTGAGAAATCAGAAGAAGATTTGGAAACACAGTCATGAAAGAACTACATTAGATCTTACAATGTAAAGAGATTAAATGCAAAAGTTGGAATCACTGATGGCATAGTATTTCTGATGTCTATGTATGGATGTGAATACTTGACAAGAAGGAAAGCAGATAGGAAAACCTCATTTGAAATGTGGTACTGGAGTAACTACAGGTATTGTGGGCTACTATAAAGACAGATGAATAAGTATTAGAGTAAATCAAGCCTGAAATTTCATTAGAGATTAAGATAATTAAACTGAGGCTGCAGTTTATTGGGAAAGGTATTACTTAAGGGTGGACAGCAGGTAAAGAGGAAGGCCAGAGTACATATAGATTGATTCAGTCAAGGAAGTAATGGTCCTGAGTTTTCAAGACTCGAGAAGAGCCGTTGGTAGCCCATATTCATGTATGGCTGCCATACGATGAAGTTAGCTTGAATGTAAATAACAGCATCACTGAAATAATTTGGTACCTTAATAACAATATTGTGAAGAGGTTGGCCCACTGAGCTCTGACTTATTAATTGTAAGGTGTAAGGTAATGGTTTGGTATTTTGAAGCCAGTCAGTTTAGAACTATAAATGCTTACAGAATACAGTTGGTTCTCCATATCTGTGGTTTAAACTTTTGTGGATTTGATTACTTGTGAGATCTCCACCAAATTAAATGCCACAATTGCTGATGACTTCCACCTCTCTCCCTCCCCTCAGAGGAACTGGTAGCGTTGTGGCCCACCCAGAATGCCATGCTGCCCTCAGGCATCTGAGCTTGGTAGACTGGACCCAGAGTGGTATGTCTTGGTGTCCATCCCACAGATTAGTTGAGGGTCAAAGCTGCAATCCAAGCAGCTGGTAACTGCTGTCAGTGCATGAGGTAAAATCCCTGCTGCAGCTGCCACCATCCAGGCCTGTCCAGCCTGGTGTCTCCCCACCTCTCCTCAACCACCACCTATATCCCACTTAGGAGGGGCCAGTGGGAAGAAGAGCACCTCAAAGTTTGATCAGGAGGATTGGGGATAACAGTATAAAGAGAACCCCCTTATCTTCACTTGCTTTCCTCCCTTCCCTGCATCCCCAGCAGCAGCTTCCCTGTCCAACTCTGCTCCTCCACCTCCCTCTCCTCCATGCACCACCAAGCCTGCTCCATCTCTTGCTCCCTCTCCCTCCTCAGCAGCAGCAGCAATAGCAGCATTCTGAGTGCTCGACACCAGGGGACGCTCTGGCTCTTCAGCAGCTTGCAAGGTGTGGCTCAGCTGCTCAACTCCCCCAGACTAACCGACGCCGCTGCATCATCTCAGACTCCCCATGCCTTTGACTTCCTCCATCTTGACAGGTAAAAATAGGGACTGGGATGCTAGGGGCAGGTGGATGGGTGGAAGAAGAGTGGCATGCACTCAGTCTCTACCCACCCATGAATAAACGTATGTGTAAGACATGAATAAGGGAATGCTAACTTCTCTGCTGACTACAGAGTTTCAGGACATTATCCCATGAGCACGAGGGAATTGGGCGTGTGTGTGTGAGGGAAAACATGAAGAATGGGAACCTGTCTTACCCCAAAAAGGTCTGTCTTCAAGGATGACCAGCCATCTTCTTCCCAGTTTCCTTCATTTCTTCAGTCAGGAGATGGGAAACACTTGATTTCTGAAAATGGACACTTCTTACTGTCTTCACATGCTGGCAAGATGGATTCCCACAGGCAGCCACTGGAAGTGGCTGTGCTTCGTGGGATAGCCTCTGTGGGACTCTGTTTTGCCAGTGAATGAAGACGGTCAGAAAATGGGGGAAAATTAAGGTTGGATAACATCATCTGATCAACAGGTAGTGATTATGCATACAAGCACCTGTACCTGAGTGGTCTAGGTTGAGAAGGAGGAGGCTAGACATAATTCGGTTTTTCCACCTTTTCCAAGGTCCTGCACCCCAATTCCTGTGAATGTGAAGGGTTGGCTATATCCTAAAAATATTCAGAATCTTTTTTTAAAAAGTCCTGATTTTCAGTGTAAAATGTTCCATTCGATGTTCTTCACAATATCCCAAAGAGGGGGAAAGGGCTTTTGCGGTTTCTTTAGGTAGAAAAAGCATCTTGCTGTTTGTTGTTTCTATGTTGAGAGGTTTATTAGAAGTACTAGCTTAGATATATTTGGATCAGATTTTTTTTTTAAAGAGCCTTTTAACCTTGTTTTCTTAACACTTGTTTTTCATTTGGAAAAAAATAGTTTACCTGAACTTTATACTCCAGATCTATGTTACTACATACAAATATACACATTCTTCTGCATATTATTACCACATAAAAGTGTACTGCTTCCTTAATAATTAACCTGTTCTGATCTCCCAGTAGAGGTTTTTGTGTATATCTTTTTAAAATATTTCACTAAATTTTCTCTTTCTCCCTCTCTCTCTTTCTTTTTTGGTGACATCAGTTCTACAGTACAGTGGCCTATTGGTATCTGATGGGGTTCCTGGACCTCCAGTGGTTACCAAATTCATAGATACTCAAGTCCTTATACACATTGGTGTAGTAAAATTGCATTGCTTATATAACATGGCAAAATCTAACTTTAGCCTTGGACATTTTTAAAAATATTTTCAAACAATGGGTGGTTGAATTCATTGTTACAGAATCTGTGGATATGTGGGGCTGATGGTATTTATGTAAAGCATCCTGGACTTGGAATATGCAAAAGCTTGTAGTTAATATGGTGTCCATTACACATGTAATGGTTTGAAAGTGAAATATTTTAAATTTATGTCCTTTTAATTTTTGCTTGGTGATCAAGATAGGTATACTTTCCCACTCGATTTTAGAAATGTCAGACATCTTAACTTCCAAGACTTGTTGCCAGTCACAAAAAGAGGAAGCAAATAGTATACAGTGCATTATGAATAGTGCACATAATCTAACATAGTAGTCAGTATTATAAGACTAATACTTTTTATTTTAAGCATATTTCTAAAATTCAACATTACAAAGAAAGTATAATGCAGCTGAAGAAAGTGAAAAACTTTTGGTGGATCACATATGAAATATCTGTGTCATGAATATGCCCCCATTTTTCACTATAGCTTAATACATATAATGTTCTTCCTGATGTGTGCCATTCACACTCGACCTAACAGGGACAATGCAAAGATTGCATCATATGAATAGTACCTACAATGTGCAGAGCTTGGACAGTGAATTGTAGTTCAGTTTCTAAAAGGTATTTTCTCTCAGTCGATACATTTCTTAAGAAGATGGGGTAGGTAGGGAGACTGACAGTGGAGCCAAAGTTATGGATACCATTGCTGAAAGCTATCCACAAGGTAATTAAGGCAACAAGCAGGATGTCATTCCAATGCCAGCCAGTAACTTCTGTGTGTATGCCAGGAATCCATGACACAGATGGACATTGCATTGTCAGGCAAATACTGTGCATATAGATTTTTCATGTAAACTTCACTTTGGCTGTATGTAGCCTTAAACAATACATCACTTTTGGATATCCATCATCCATTTTAAATCAATCCAAATGTGTGTGGTGTGATAGCAAAAAGAGTAGAGTTCAGTGGATTTTATAAGCTGGAAAGATAAAAAAAATATTATGACCTTTTTGTCAAGATCCATGCCATTCATATCTGCATAGCAGGTTGAAACTCACTTTGATGTCACTTTCTATTCAGCTTCTTTCTTTCCTGATCTTTTTGATGTGGCAACTGGTCCATCTAGCTCAGCATTGTCATTTCTCGCCAGCAGGAACAGCGCAGGATTTCAGACAAACAACTTGTCAACATTCCTGGAGAAGGCTGTACTGACAAAACAAAATGTGGCTATGAGACATACGTTAATTCTGGGATTTTCAGATTTGAGAGATTATTGAAATTATAAATCTGATTCCCTTTATTCATATTAGATTTCAGTGGCTAGTGGTAAGGTATCATAGGAGAAAATGTCTTAATGAAATCAGAAGTTTTGTGACTTACTGGTATTTACACCAAACCCTTGGCATTATACATGATTTAAACATATTTAAATAAAATGAATGTTTTTCCCAGTCACAGCTACCTATTCAAGCCTGTTCAAAATTTAAACATTGTGGTCCTGCATAGAAAAATATTAGGAACATGGATAATGTGTGAAACTGCCCTTAGATCGTCTTTGTTAAGATTTGTCCTGCTGTGATGGCTTGACTCTGTTGGCACTTCTCTAATCGTATGAAAGGAAAACAGCATTCTCAGTTGTGGGCAAATTTTCAGTACAAATTGTTTGAGCAGCAGAATGACCCTTGGCACTACATCACATTATGTGTTTAACAATACTGCTTGTAGAGGAGCTTGTCAAGATGGGAACACAGCACTGGGGCAGAGAATTACTGGGCCCTCAAATATAGTTTTGCATAGCTGCTGTGGTCTGTGTGCCTTGATGTTTTCATCTTTTACTAACGTCATAACTCACACAAATATGCTGTCTTTTTTGTTGATTTTTTTTTTCACAGGCAGCTTTCAAAAATTCTTGCCCATTTGTAAAAGCATGGATCAAGTCCTGATGAGGACATCTGTATATTATGTGATACAAATAATGCATGAAACCCCTAGCAGAATTATATTGTTGGTGAAATAAGCTGCACTTAGGTGTCCAAAAAGACCCACAAAATAATACAGTGTGAAATGCTGTTAGGCCTGTTTTCAGTAACATGGTTATTAATGGCAGGCTGGGAGCATCTGACATTCCTTGGGATCAAAGACTTCCCCAGAGTTCATATTTCTATATGAAACAGAACAATGTATGTGACTGCCCTTCCCCTCTGAATTCTTTCATAGCTAAAAAATTTTCACCAGGAACAGTAAGAATGAAGAACCATGTAGCTGTTGGGGAAGGACACTTCCTACAATTTGAATGTTTTTACTGTACTTATTTTTGTCTCCAAATATATCTACAGCTAATGTTGCAACTTCAAATATATGGAGATTTTTTTTGGGGGGGGGGGTATGCAATACAGTACAATAGCTGTATCTAAGGGAGGTATGTTCCTGGACTTTGCATAGGTATATGAAACCCTGGATAATAGCAAACACCATTGAAATGAAGCACTTCTGGTCCAAGAATACCATAAAATTTACTTTCATCTGAGGGCCCTTCCACACAGCCCTATATGCCATGATATCAAGGCAGAAAATCCCACAATATCTGCTTTGAACTGGGTTAACTGAGTCCACTCTCAGATAATGTGGGATTTTCTGCCTTGATATTCTGGGATATAGGGCAGTGTGAAAGGGCCCTGAGACTTAGAATATGACCTGCTCAAGGTCACTCAGGCCCCTTCTCCACAGGCCTGAATTTCCATGATAGATAACGGGTCTATCTGAGGCATACAAACAATGGATTTCCCAATTTATCCCACACTAATTTGACACCTGGAAAGATCCAGACCTTAAACTAAGGTCCTGATTTTGCAGGTTCTGGGCATGTGGAGATTGACTCCTGGGAGTGCTTCTGCATGCCTGGGGGGGAGGGGAGGTTAATCTCCACAGCCATCCCAGTTCCATGGGCTCCTGGATTACTCTGCAGACGCACCCACCTCCTCCCTCCAGCTCTCATTTCTCCCCCCCCCCCAAACTTATCGGAGTGGCCTGCCAGCAGAGCAGGCCCTCGGCAAAGTAATCCCTCCTCCCAGTTCTTGACTCCTCATTTTCACGCAATAGGTGTACTCTGCAAAGGGGCCTATGCTGGGGGGGGGGGGGGGCACTGGATGCCATCCCAGGCCAACCTTTGGTTGACCTGGGAGGGCATCTAGCCACTCCTCAAAGGAAACACAGAGGTTTGGATTGGGATGGTGACAGAAACCCAGGAAGGAAGTGGATTAAATTAATTCATCCTGAGATTCTGCCTTGTCTGGGCCTTCAATGGGTTTCCATGGCTGAGCAGGGATTGAAACTCTGGTCTCCAAATTTGTAGTCCAGCACTCAAACTGCAACACATTACTGACCTTCAAGAAAAAAACACATAGCACCCATAGCCCCTAAAGGGCATCTTTTTCACTAACCTCAAGACAGCATTTTTATTTGAGATCATTTCTGTGATAGTAAAACCTATCTACTTATTATTGGGCAGAGGGGGGTTAACCCAAATTAGTACAATTCAACAATATTACAAACAGTTCTTCAGTTTGACTAAGTAGGAAAGGGATGTAAACTAAAATATATCTTCACTGGATGTGATACCATTAGCCTTTTGCATTTTCAAGGGAACATTGATTAATTCAGAGTCTGAGAAAGAGGTTATTGGCTCAACCAGATTGGCCCTTATAGCAGGAGGACACATAGCAGTAAAATTCCTAGCTTCAATAGCAT